CAGAGAGTCCCGCCAATGCCACCCTCTCTCCGTCCCGAAGCGGGGCCCACGCTGAGCCCGCCAGGGCCACACCGGCCTCTACCAGGGAGGCCGTCCCTGCATTGGGACTCTGCTTTAGCACTGGCTCTGTTTTATTTTATTTTATTATTTTTTTTTTGAGACAGAGTCTCGCTCTGTCGCCCGGGCTAGAGTGAGCGCCGTGGCGTCAGCCTCGCTCACAGCAGCCTCCAACTCCTGGGCTCCAGCGATCCTCCCGCCTCGGCCTCCCCCTTGAGTAGTAGCTGGGACGACAGGCATGCGCCACCACGCCCGGCTCGTTTTTTATTTATTGTATGTATTTTTGGTCGTCCAGCTTGTTTCTTTCTATTTATTTTTTAGTAGAGACGGGGTCTCGCTCTTGCTCAGGCTGGCCTCCACCTCCTGACCTCGAGCGATCCTCCCTCCTCGGCCTCCCAGAGTGCTGGGACGACAGGTGTGAGCCTCCACGCCCGGCCTCGTATATAGTTTGTAGTTGGCCAATTAATATCTTCCTATTTTTAGTAGAGACGGGGTCTGGCTCTTGCTCAGGCTGGCCTCCAACTCCTGACCTCCAGCGATCCTCCCTCCTCGGCCTCCCAGACAAAACCGGCTCTTTGAGGCCCCTGCCCAAAGCTCGGAGAGGCGTCTTATAGCAGGGCTGGCCGGGTCCTGAGTCTGAATTTTGTCACCTGCGGGGAAGGGAAGTGGCCGCCGCCGTTCCGCCTCCCTCTCGTTGCCTCCCGGGAGGCTCAGAGCCTCTTCTCAGGTCCCAGCCTCTACAACCGGCAGCCTCATCCTCCCGCCCCGGCCTCCCGCCAGCCAACCCTGGGGCTGGGTGTCCCCCAGTCTGCTCGCTGTCTCTCTCTGTCCCCGGCCTGTCACCCGGCTGTCACCCAGCCACCCCCGAGCCTGCCACCCGTCTGTCTAGGAGCTAACGAGGTTCGAGAACCGAGGCCGGCACCCGCAGGGCGGAGAAGTCCCCAAATTGTCCATCTGGCCGGCGGCAGGACGGGGACACACAGAGAGAGAGAGAGAGAGACAGGGGGGAGGCCCTGGCTGGAGGCCTGGCCTCATCAGTTGCTCTGGGGGTCGCTGTGTGACCTCGGGCAGGCGTCTCGACCTCTCTGGGCTTTGCTGGGATTTGAGGTTATTTTGGGGGTCGCTGTGTGACCTCGGGCTGGCGTCTCGACCTCTCTGGGCATTGCTGGGATTTGAGGGTTTTTTGGGGTCGCTGTGTGACCTCGGGCTGGTGTCTCGACCTCTCTGGGCTTTGCTGGGATTTGAGGTTATTTTGGGGTCGCTGTGTGACCTCGGGCAGGCGTCTCAACCTCTCTGGGCTTTGCTGGAATTTGAGACTTTTTTGGGGTCGCTGTGTGACCTCGGGCAGCCGTCTCGACCTCTCTGGGCGTTGGCCTGCGGATTTTGAGGGTTTCTCTTTGGGGGTTCGCTGTGTGACTCGGGCTGGGGCGTCTTGACTCTCTGGGCTTGCTGGGATTTGAGGGTTTTTTTGGGGGGTCGCTGTGTGACCTCGGGCTGGCGTCTCGACCTCTCTGAGCACTGGAATTTGAGCCTTTTTTGGGGTCGCTGTGTGACCTCGGGCAGCCCGTCCAATACGAATATTTAAGCGGAGCGTTCTCGAACTCTCTGGGACCTCCCCCTGGCCGTTGTCACCAACGAATGACGACCGAGACGCGACCCGGCCACCCGCGCCGAGGTCATCTCTCTGTGTTCCCTCGCCGGAAACAGCCTCCGCCAGCGAGGACGCGAGGGGAGGCCGTGTATAGACGGAGGCCCAAATGGGAGGACAGGGGGGAGGCCGGTTGTGGCCACGTCGTTGTCCCGGGGGGTGTGGTCTCTATTTTAGATGATTTTGAGTTGAATTGTTGACCACACCGGTTGGAAGTCCGCTCTGTCGCACGCGCTGGAGCTGAGCGCCGAGTCAGCCTCGCCACCAGGCAGCCTCCGACTCCTGGCCGTCAGCGAGCCTCCCCCCTCGGCTCCCTCCCGAGTAGCTGGACGACAGGCATGCCCTCCACGCCCGCTCGTTTTTTTCTATATACTTTTTAGTGTCCAGCCTCTTCCTTCTATTATAGTAAGCACGGGGTCTGCGCTTCTTGCTCAGCGCTGGCCTCCAACTCCCGGCCGTCGGCGAGCCTTCCGCCTCGGCCTCCCAGAGTGCTGACGACAGGCGTGAGCCCGTCCCTCCATTGCCTCCTAAAGGCGTGACCACCCAAAGGCCACCGCGCCCCATGGGTGCACGCCCAGAAAGTAGCATGCCCCTGAGACCCTTCGGCCCTGTCACCTCCGGGCCCTCAAGCGAGTTGGAGCTCGAACCCAGAACGATTCGGCAACGGTGGTTCTCGGAAAAGTCTCCCCCCCAGTCCTCCAGGGGAGTCACCCGTCGATCGTATCCCCGCAAGAACGCCAGCCCTGGCCCGGCGCCGGAGGCCCACGCCCTGCCGCCAGCATCTGGGAGGCCGAGCACGGAGATCTGGCGACCCATCCGGTCAGGAGTCGGAGAGGCCCGGCCTGAGCAAGAGAAGAGACCGACAAACCGTACCTCCTCTAAAAAATAGAATTAATCCGGCAACTGAAAAAAAATATAGAAAACGAGCCGGGCGTGGTGGCGCATGCCTGTCACGTAGCTCCCCAGCTACCGAGAGGCAGAGGCCGAGGCAGGAGGCCGCTCGAGGCCAGCAGCGACGGCGCCGTGAGCGCGAGCTCTAGCCCGGGGCGACAGGAGCGAGACTCTTGCGTCCGAGCTGGCCTCCAACTCCTGACCTCCCCGATACCGATCCTCCCGCCTCGGCCTCCTCCCGGAGCTCTGGCATGCCGACAGGCGTGAGCCTCCGCGCCCGGCCTCCGCCTCCATTTTTCTTACCGGAATCAAGTGGGATTTTCCTCTTTTTTTTTTTTTTTTTAATTGAGACAGAGTCTCGCTCTGTCGCCCGGGCTGGAGTGAGCGCCGTGGCGTCAGCCTCGCTCACAGCAGCCTCCGACTCCTGGCCTCCAGCGATCCTCCCGCCTCAGCCTCCCTCCCGGTAGGGCGGATCCAGGCATGCGCCTCCACGCCCGGCTCATTTTTTCCTCTTGTTATTCCGACTTACCCGTCCCGGGGCCTCAGTTTCCCTCCCTCTCTTCTCTCTCTCTCTGTGTCTTCCGTGTGACAACCTTGCGCCCGCCCGTCTCTCCGTGCCTCCCTGAGCCTCAACCCCGGAAACAAACGGACGCTCACCCGGCGGCCTCCACGTCCGCCCGAGACTATCTTAGAGGCCGGCGGGGACCTCCTTCCCTGGCCTCCGCGGAATTCGAGGCGACCGCCCTTGCCATACCGGGGCTCCTCGCTCTTTCCGCCTCCTCCCTCCAAAGCGGCTGCCGGGCGCCGGCCGTCGCGTGTCGGTCCCGAAAAAAATAAAAAACTCCTTTTTTTTTCTCTCTCCTGACCCCGGCGACCACCGGGTGCGTCCTCCTTTTCCGGCCTCCTTCTCCGTGCTTTTTCGAGGCCGCCGCCGAGGCCGGCCGGGGGCTTGGGGGGGAGGGGCGGCCTGCCCCGCCCGGGGAGGGGAGGGGACAAGTGATGTCACAAAGGGTCCCCCCCCCACCTTTGACCCGGTGACCTCCGCCCCTCCAGCTCTTGGCCAACGGGGGGAGGGGACCCGCCCCCTGGCCCCGGCCTCCCGGCCCAGAGCGGTAGAGGCTGTCCTCCCCTCCCCGTCCTCCCCTGCCCCCCTCGTCCCCCCCAAGCCAGCAAGGGGGGAGGGCCCGGTCTGTCCCCCCTCTCCCCTGTCACTTGTCCCCAAGAGCCCGGGGCCGGGGCGACTATGAACAGCTAACCCGCGGAGGCCGGCTCAATCTCACCGCAACGGGAAAGTGGAGGCCGGGAAGGGAGGCCCAGCGCTGCTTAAAATCTGAGTCCCCGGGGAGGGGAGGCCATGGCCACCTACTACCAGGTGCTGGGCGTCCCGCCGGCGGCCTCCGCGGAGGACATCAAGAAGGCCTACCGCAAGCTGGCCCTGCGGTGGCACCCGGACAAGAACCCCAGCCTCAAAGAGGAGGCCGAGAAGAGGTTCAAGCAGGTCTCCGAGGCCTACGAGGTCCTGTCGGACTCCAAGCGGCGGGCGGCCTACGACAGGACCGGCTGTGACACCTGGCGGGCGGGCGGCGGAGGCAGCGGCGGCGGAGGCCGGGGCGGAGGCCGGGGCGGAGGCCCTAACGTCCCCTACGGAGGCGGGGGCAGCCCGTTCGAGGCCGGCTACAGCTTCCGCAACCCGGAGGACATTTTCCGCGAGTTCTTCGGCGGCCTCGACCCTTTCTCCTTCGACTTCTGGGACTCCCCTCTCGGGGGCGGCGGAGGCCGGGCCTCCGGGGGCGGCGGAGGCCGGGCCTCCGGGAACGGAGGCCGGGGCCTCCGCGGGGCCTTCTCCGCGGGCTTCGGGGAGTTCCCGGCCTTCATGGAGGCTTTCTCGTCGTTCGACGCGCCCGGCCGGGGCGGGGGCAGCCGCACGGCCTTCTCCTCGGCCTCCTTCGGAGGCTCGGCCGGAGGCAGCTCGGGCTTCAGGTCGGTGATGTCGTCCACGGAGGTCGTCAACGGCCACAAGGTCACCACGAAGAGGGTCGTGGAGAACGGGCAGGAGAGGGTGGAGGTCGAGGAGGACGGGCAGCTCAAGTCGGTCACCATCAACGGCAAGGAGCAGCTGAAGCGCGTCGACAACAAGTAGAGGCCGGGCCTCCCCGCCGGGCCTCCTCCTCCTCCCC